AGCGCGGCGACGAGGCTGGGGAGAGAGCCGGAGGGGCGGGGCTAGAGCCACGTGGGCGGGCCGTGGGCGGGGCCTCCAAGCCGCGCCTCCAGGCTCCCTGGGGACGGCGGCGCCTGGTTTTCCGTGCGGTTTGTGAGCGACCCAGTGAAACAGCTCCTGGTGCTGCTGTATCTTAGTGAGTGCTGCTAAAGATAAGGTGTATTTTTTAAATCATCAGGCTAAAACGTGTATTTTCTGATTTGTAGTTGGGTTTTTCCCCCTCACTGGGAAGAGTCAGAAGTCGTCATAAAAGCAGTTTGTCCGGGTTGTGAATAATTGACAGAAACAGTCAGGACCCCCACCTCAAAAAAAAGAATTGTCACCCAGAGTTAATAGGTAAGATTTTTTTCTCACTTTGAATTGCAAATAAGCAGACTCTTTACGGCAGCGGGCTTTTTATTTGACGGTGGACTTTGTCTAAAAATAAATGCTCGGGATCAGGGTTGTGAGTTCAGTTGCAGTTGGGGCAGAGCGAGGACCCCCGCTGGGAGCCAGCCCGCCTGAGGGCTGGGAGGGACGCCCCCGGAAGCACGCGGGATCTCCGTGAAGGCGGCACGGGCAACCGGGCACACGTTTTGGCAGGTCGCTGCTAGTCACAAGCAGCAGACAGATGTCCTGACTAATGGTTGTACTACTTTTCTGGATACAGGAAGACGTAAGAAATTGGGCTCATAAAATCTTCTCCTGAAAATATCTAGCTATCTGAAGGCTTTTTTTTTTTGCCAGTTTTCCCCAGAGCACAGAGTGGGTCCTGCCTGATCCCCTCTCCGGGTGTATTGAAGGTCAGCGACTGCAGTGGTCAGTGACTTCATTCTCGTAGAACCAAGTGGTGACTGACAATTTATACTTGGCAACTTAATTTACAAAATTAACTCTTTTAAATTAACTCTCTGAAGTTAGTTTAAGACTAATATATGATCCAGCAGATCCCTTTGGAGGGGATCACCAGGTCTCTGAGTTGGCTCAATGATTTGTTTAGCTTACTAAGTTTACCCTAGGCACCATCCCATACTAAGCATTAGGATTCCAAAGATCAATACATCGTAGTCTGCCTTCCAGATACTCTCAGTCTATACAGGAAGACCCACAGCAATTCTAATAATTAGATATCTTTTTAAAAATAAGTTTTTGAAAAGTATTATAACAAAATAACACTAGTTGATGGTGGAAAGCTGATTTTTTTTTTCAGAATTCCAGCTAATAAGTGAAGAAGAAAAATCGAGAATCTCAGTATTTTATAAATGATTCAGACAACAAAATCATTAGCTGAGAGACCAATGAGGAACTGGGTGCCAAAGTATCTCTCCACAGACAATTGATGGTTGTGGGGAAAACACTGCTTCAGGTTGGAAACCTGCTGACCAACATTAGCATTACTAGAAGTAGAATAACGAGGGGCAGGGTAGAGCTCAGTGGCAGAGTGCATGCTGAGCATGCAGGAGGTCCTGGGTTCAGTCCCCAGTATCTCCACTTAAAAAATAATAAATAAATAAATAAACCTAGTTACCTCCTACCCCCCAAAAGTAGAACAATCAGACTTCATGGCTCATGTTGACAAAAATGTGGATCCTTCATCTACTCAGAACTTTAGGTCCAATTTCCAGTTTACAAGAACTATGGGGAAAGAGCAATGGAAATAATCAGACAAACTCAGAATGTGGGATGTCTTGCAGGAAAAGTGACCTGTTTCTCCAATAGCAAAAGAAGAGGGAAGAGAAGGCTGTCCTAAATGTATAAAAACTTGACAAAATATTTTAAGTCTTGATGGGTTTCATTATGCTATTTACTCTGTTTTTATGTATTTCTGAAATAAAAATTTTATTTATATGTATGTTCATTGTAAGATTTTTCTCAATTAATTAAAAAATGTGTAAGATAGAAATAAAGTTCCTATTCCTCAAAGGTAGGCAGTTTGGAATATGACATGCCAGATTTTTATCTCATACGTATTTAAACACCCATTTGTATAACTTTAAAAGGAACTCTATTGCTCATGGTTCTGTAATTGCACTATATGTAACATAATATATGCACATGTGGGTGAGTCCATATTTCTGTAAGATGAACTTCTAGAAGTGGAATTCCTACTAGTGGAATTTATAGGTCAAGGAGCTTAGTAATTCAATTTTTGTCTTCCAGTTTTATTGAGATATAATTGACATATACTACTGTATAAATGACATATACTACTGCATGATGACTTGACTTACAGACATCCTGGAATAATGATCACAGTAAGTTTAGTGAATATCCATCATCTCATATAGGCACAAATAAAATGAAAATAAAAATATTTTTTCCTTCTGATGTGAGCACTTAGGATTTACTCTATGAACAATGTTCAGGTATAACATACGACAGTGTTAATTATACTTATCATGCTGTACAGGACATCCCTAATACTTATTTGTCTTATAACTGGAAGTTTGTGCTTTTTGACCACCTTCATCCAATCCCCCCTGCCCCTGCCCCCACCTCTGGTAACCAAAGATCTGATCTCTTTTTCCATGAGTTTGCTTTTTTGAAGTATAACTGACCTACAGCAGTATATTAGTTCCTGGCACACAATATAGTAATTTGATTATTTCTAAGCATTATGAAGTGATCACCACATAGTGGTTTAAATTTTGACAAACATTGTAAAATTTTCTTTCACTAGTATCTGTTTCCAGTTACAGCGTAAGGAAGTGTCTGGTTTGTCTTTTGTGATGATGTCAGCAGACAAGTAGGCAAGGCCAAGGCCAAGGCCTGGCTGATCTGCCCAGTAAAGTGTAACAAGCCCGTTGTAGACGTAGACAGCTTATTACATAACCAGCAAGAGGGGAGAGCCGTCAAGAGGTGGCTCCCCGTGCCCTCGGCCTAGGCCCCCAAAGGAGCTGGGATTGGATCATGAGCCACAGCTCTACCCTGAGCTCACGCGTCGTCTGCCCTAGGAGGTGATGAGAAACGTCTCCTCCCCTAGGAGACAGGGAGACAGGGAGGAGGGGGCCTCACGGCAGCCCTCACCAGCCCCCATCTCTGGCACCAGCAGGCTCACAGGCTTTCTGCTAGACTCAGGGAGCAGGCTGGGTCTCTCGTCCGGCTACTGTCAGCCACTGGAGACAAGGCACAGCAAGCAGCAGAACGGGGCCCTGAACCAAGGCAGGGGGGCAGGGTGGCAGCGGCGTTTGTGGTGAAGGCAGGACAGGCAGAGGGACAGCCTCAATGTGCCTCCAGGAACGGGGGCTTCCCGTCCAGGCAGAGCAGTGACAGCCTGGAAATGATGTGGTGGCGGGAGGTGGTCCGCAACCCTGCAAGAAATGACTCAAAGGGTCAGAGACCTGAAAAAAATGCAAACTGTGAACCGTGGAGAACGTAACATAGGAGAAAGTCTAATGCCCTTGCGTGTGGTGGTGACATTTAGTTGCAACACCAAAAGCGAGACCCATGAAAGAACTGCTTGGGACGCCTAGTTCCTCTAAGTAACAAGAGAGGCGTCCAGGGATCTGCAGACGGGACCACACCAGGGAGCACGCGCACCAAGGGCCCTGGACGCAGGCGTGATGCCAGGATGGCTGCCGGGTCCAAAGACCCTCTTTCCTCGCGGCCGGGCCAGCTGCCTCCCAGATCCCGAGCGGAGAAGCAGCAGCTTCCAAGACGGCCCTCGTGCACCCCATCACCTTAAAACACTCAAACCCCGAAATCTGCCATATTGAAATTTTTATTTTGTAATTGCTTGTTAGTTCATCACAACAATAAAGACTGCTTCCACTGATTTTAAAGTGACCACTACATTGAATAAAACCACAAGTTTTGGTATAGGTATCCATTAATATCTGATTATTTTGTACACAGAAGCATGAAGAAAGAAAGTTTAAACTGCAGTCATTTGCTTCGGCCCTGGCAGTGGTTACCGCCAGTGAGGCCTGGCAGTGGTGCCTGCAGGCTGCATCCCCAGCAGCTGTTTGGTGGCCGAGTCCCAGTCTTTACCCAGCTCGAGCCGCCAGCAGATGGAGGGATATTGTCCTTCAGTTCTTCTTAGCCACTCACTTGCTTTCCGTATTTCCTCAAAAGCCCAGGGGATACGCCTAGATTAAAAATAGTTTTTCTGTCAATTTTGGGATATAATTATGTATGAAATATAACATGGACCAGATCCAGCACATTATATCAGACGAAATCTGTCAAAAATTAACACTCTTCATAGCAGCGGTTCTGACATTTTTATGGGAGTTCTTCCACCAGCCTGACATGGTGCTTTTAGCCCCTTCCTCACATGGTGAAGCACACCAGGCCCTCGCCGCCCGGCGCCACCGCCTTCACGGGCGTCCCTGCTGCCCCCAGGACCACGCCAGCTTTCACACGTGTTACCAATGGTTGACTGTCATCCTCTGCTCATCCTCCAAGCACAAAACCAGCGCTGTGTTCACACTAGGCTTCCACCTGCCCCTCCCTTTTGCTCTTCTGGGAATTCTCACCTCAAACTAGTTACTGGTAAAGTCCCTGAGAGTCACCCACGAAACTGGCATGTATTTAATTTTACAACACAAACTGGGAACAACTTACTAGTAAAATGTGCATAACATAAACACTTCTAGTTTGTGTCCATAAAATGCTGTCGAATATTCAAGTCTATTTGAGACTGAGAAAAATTGAGATTTCTCATTAATGTTAGATAGGTGTTTGCTTGTTTGTTTTGTTACCTGCTAGAACTTGTTAGCAAACAAGCATTGACATATACTAAAGGATACGGGGGGACACAAAGAATTTGGAAAGTCTATCATTCTGATTTTTCTCCCCTGGGAGCTGGGACGTGGGCCATCAGGGTCCTGTGGTGGTTGAGAGCTGGGTTCGATCCTGCCTCTGTAATCACACAATGTACAGCCCTCACTCAACCCTGCAAGCCTCAGTTTCCTCAGTTATGCCACTAATACAAGATCCCATGTGTTTGTTGTGGGGATTAACAAAACGCATGAATTTAACATACTGAATGGTCTCTGGCACCGAGCAGGCAATCCATAAAGGTTAGCTGAGTACCTGGGGACCTGAACACCTAAACGGCAAGCGAGCCCAAGGAAGTTAAAAGACTGATGGTTCCCAGTAATTACTAGTCTGCTTAGAGTCACTGACCACTGGAGGCAAAAAGACTGATTTAAAGTATTCTCACAGATTCAACTGGCCTTCCTTTAATCCAGTTGGTCTCTGAACTTTTGACTGACCACCCCACCAGTATGAAAATTTTGTTTGTACCCCTCCAAGCAATGTGCTGCCGCATTAATGTTATGGACATCATGAAGCAGAAAAAATAGAAAAGTTTTAAATATGTAAAAAGCAGGAAATAAACATTACTTAAAAGAGTTTTATCTATTAAAGTGCCAACAAACCATATTGTTATCTCACAATAACAGTATTACAGTAAGAGTAATGTGATGGAATATATTTCATTATCTTGGAAATCTTGGTTTAATAATTTTTGCTACTGCAGTTCAAAAGGAGGCTGAACGTTATTAATCCTTATTCTAACGGTTATCACAGAGTAAGGAAAAGATTTAAATAGAAGTGGTTGTGCCTGTCAAATCAAATACTAACTTTTCAGTCTATTCATTCTTCAAAGTATTTTTCTTGATACTCATTTAATAAATTCCCATTTTTCTCAAGGAGTTGTTTTGGCAAACTAATGAGAAAGTGTTGCTCTTTTTAAAAATGAAGGCACATATTCCATAGAGTAAAATGCTCAGTTAATGATTGTGTAAGTGTCTGTTTTGTGTTTGGTGCAGTTGGGAATGGAGAATTTAATCGTTGTTGTGAGAGGGTAAAAACAGATCTACTAATTTATTTTAATTTCATCCGTAAATATATTATCTCTAAGGGATAAGAACTTTTTCTTAAACATGACACTTAAAAACAGTGATAAATAATTCTTTAATATCACAAAATATCTAGGTAATGTTTAAATTTCCCTAATTGTCTTTTTTTTTTTTAATGCAATGGGTCTTGTTCAAATCAGGATCCAAACAAGGTCCACACATTGCCTTTATGTGTGCCGAACATCTTTAATCGACAGGTTCCTCCTCTCCCCTCTTCTTTCACTGTCATTTATTTCCTCCCATTCCAGACATTGCTGCCTGCATTCCCGCAGTAGGACTTAACATGTCCAGTCTCTGTTCTCTGACATCTGATCTTCATTATGTAAAATCCCTATACAGTTTCCAAGTCAAAACCATAAAACGAGGTACATTAGGCGAAGCCTTACTTCCGTCCTGTCTCCTCCCCAACCCCCCAGAGATAATAATATTTTACTAGTTTTATTAGCTTTCCCCCATCTTGCCTTTTGAAAAACATAAGCAAACTGTGTGTGTGTGTGTGTGTGTGTGCGTGTGCGGGTGCGTGTGTGTGCGTGTGTGCATAGGCGGCCCCTGGCTGGGGTATGGACGGGGTGCTGACGGGTAAGGAGGATTCTCACGTACACCCAAGGCCTCTTGCGGTCCCCAGGGCCGGCCAAGGGCGAGGGCGGGGCCCCAGAACCGGCTCTTTCCACACAGCCCCGTTTTAGCAGAAAATTCTAAATCTGAACCTGGTCTTCTAGGTGCTTCTAAAGTTGCATTTGTCAGGGTAGCGCTTTAGACATATTTATTTTAACAGTTCACTAGTTTGATTTACAAGTTTTAACACTTAGACATATAGCATGTGGGTTTCTATTTGTATTCTTATCCCAGGCCCTGCAATTGTTAGATTTTCCAAAAGCACATAAAAGAAATACACTGCAGTGAAACACAGTACTAACCAGGACCTGAACAGCTAGGACTCCGTGTAAGCGACACGTAAACTCTCCAAGCCCCAGTTTCCTCTCAACCCAAGAAGTAAAAATACTGTCTGTCTGGCCTCCCCAGGAAGAGCTCCGGGAAGATGTTCCCTGCGGACAAAGCATCTCTGTGCTCACAATTCCGCGTGGCTTCCTCTCAGGTCAGTAAGGAGCTGGCTGAGCTTTTTTCCCCTAAATAACCCATCTCCTCCCTCCACATCCCCACCCCCATACACAGTGTCAACTACAGCCTTGAAAAAGCTTTTCTAAACAGGAAGTTATTGTAAAACAAGCTACTTCCAATTATTGCATAAAAACAAGCTGATTTGTGGCTGCTCAGCATAAATTAGGCATCGACTTTTATTCAACGTAAAGGTGGCAAAAAAAGTTGATTATTTTGTGGGGAGGAGGGAATAACTGTTAGTTTAGGAATGACTCTTCATAATTATTATATTAGACCCACAAACATAGAATAAAGACCTCACCGATACACACATACACTTGCCACAGCTTCTTTTCACTCCTGATTAAAACAAATGAACAAAATGAAACAAATAAACTGGGCTGAGGGCAAAAAGAAAAGAAATGATTGACAGGACAAGTGAGTGAGTCACCTGGAAACAGAAGCGTCATCCAGTTTCATCAGTGACCTGAAGGCTCCTCCCTGCCGTTCCAGCCTGGAGCGAAGGAACTGCAGGACGAGAAACGTGGCGACCAGGTCTAGGAGCCGCTCTCTTCCTTTCACACCTAGAAGCGGAAACGTATTTTATGTCTGTCAGAAGCTCTGCACCCCGCCTGGACCTGCTTACCAAAGTTCTAATGAAGACTTATAATACCAGTAAACCACAATACGTTCGTGCATCACAGAACTCTGTAACACTCTTCAAGGTCCTTAGTTAGCCTGCTATTTAAATAAAAAAGCAGGGCGACTGGAGCAAGTTCTGCCATCATATTATCCTGATGGCTGCTAGGAACCTGAGTCACACCTGAGCCCCCCTCTCTGCCACCTTTAGTAACCAGAGATGCAGGAAGTGCTTCTAGGCTCCTGCTACAAGCAGCTCAGAGGCATAACCCTAAACACGCAATAGATAAACAACTGACACGGCTGATTAGATCACGGCATCAAATTACTCTGAGTGATCGGCAGTCTTGAAATTGTTTTCTAGGCCCAAGATGGTGCTGCTCCTGTCCTGGGCAGCAAAACAAAATTTTGGTAATTTTTGTGTCCCTGGTAACTCTCTGCTTGACCAGAAACATGCCACATCCAGGCAGCCAAACCTCAAACACCAAGCCAGCGCTGGGGTCTGATTCCCTGTTCCTCGACCTTTCCAAGTAAGGTCGGCCAGTCAGCCGGGCACTTCCTGTCTCCTGCTCACCTGCCTCTACAAAAGCCTGCAGCCCTTGCCGCTGACTTTGCCATTCTCCCGGCTCAAGATGGAGACTGCCTGCTTCGTCAAGTGTGAAATCAAAAATGTTCAGATCAATCGATTATTTAAACCGTGCATCCTGGTAACCAGTGTTAGTTACCCAAATCAAGATATTTTACTGTATTATGAAATACCAAAACTGAAAATCAATGTTTAAGTCTATTGAACCCAGAAATTAACACATTTGAAATTTTAAAATGCAAGTCATGTGTTTGAATGACTTTATATAAACATTTTGATTCTAAATATGTTATTTTTCAAACCTCTAATGTCATGAAACCAAACTTTTCACAGCTGTCTTGAGAGGGTTCAGATCAGGCCACCAGAGAATCTGCCACTTTGGCGAGTAGATTATTTCGAGCTGAAGGCTGTCAAGACCCAGGAGACCCAGGAGAAGCTTTTCACGTCGCCCTGAACTGCCAGAAACAAATTAGAAAGGGTGTGTGCAGAGCTGCTGCCAGAGACAGCCTTCTCTGAGCCTGACCTGCCTGGCAGGCAGGCAGGCCTTGGTTTACAAGTGTTTCCTCTTCTCATCTTCCTGGGAACTGCTCCCCCTGACGCCCGAGCGCCCTTATCCCTTTCATCAAAATTTTAGAGAAAAAAATCAGGTACTATTTATTCAATATTTTTCTACCCATCCTCTCTCTCTCCTTCAGGGATTCCAGTTACACAAAGGTTAAACCTTCTGACTTGTTCCACAGGTCTTCAATTCTTTTTTTCACTCTGTTTCTTCCTTTCTTTCTATGCTTCAGTTTGGATAATCTTCATTCACCATTTTATATTATTATAATTTGAGTTACATGATCCCTTTTTTCTCCCTATTTTGTCCATTCTGCTAGTAAGCCCGTCTGACGACCTTTTCATTGAAGACACTGTATTTTCCAGTTCTAGAATTTTCCTTTGGTTCTTGTAGTTTCCAGAGATCTCTTTGTTGAGATTCCCCCGCTGTTCAGCCACTCTGTCCTTTCTGGTAAGTCCTTCACTGTATTCACACGAGCACCGTTCAGGTCCACGTCCACGCGTCCCAGCGTCCGTGGCACTGCAGGCCAGTGTGTGCGGCGCATTTCCCCCGATGTCAGGTCGTACTTCCCTGCTTCTTTGTGAGTTATTTTCGTTCTGTTCTGAACACTGAAGGCGACACCTTGTAGAGACTCTGGATTGTGTTACCTTATACTAAAGATTGCTGCGTTTTGTTCTGGGGGATTCTCTGAAGGCTGTGCTTAGGGCATTGTTAGGGTGGGCCTACTTCGCTCTCCCCGTCATCCTGTGGTAGGGCCCTTGATTGTGAGCTACGGTGCTTAGGGCTCTTTTGTGGTTTCAACGGCAAGCCTGAGACATTTATCAAGTCTCTAATTTGCTCTGACTTGAACACCAAACCGTGTCTTCCCAACACCTGGCAGCAGGTGAAGTCTCTGCGCAGCTCTTCAGCTTCCCAGCTGCTGTTGCCTTTTCCTGGATTCCTTGGAGTCACCCCCTGTGCGTGCATAGGCTACGGAAAGCCAAGGATCCGAGGGCGATTTTTTAAGCAGATTTCAGAGCTCCCTGTTTCGTGGCTCCCTCCTTTCTAGGATTTTCACCTTTAATTTCCAGCCCCTCTGGGAGCCTCAAACTCTGACCCCTGTGCCATCCTCCCATTAAGACTTTCTATCTCAGCTCTCACCTCCCAGTGCCTCGTGAACTGAGAAGTGCCTTCAGGTGAAAAGCGGGCTAAACGTGCGGCTCACCTGGTTTGCTTCCCTTCTTTCAAGGTTTGAGTCCCCTCTAGTTTCTGCCTGCTTTTGATTGTATTCCAGGCCTTTGATGTCTTTAAAATACCTTGTCCAGGGTTAGTAAGTGTTATTGGCAGGAGTTAAGTCAGCTCTTCTTTCATTCCAGGAACTGGAACTCTCTCCTCATGCAAACTTCCATCATGACTTTTTGGTCTAGGACAATTCGAGGAGCACATTTCCCAGCCCCCTGGTGTCTGGGTGGGGCTCTGGGACTAGCTCCTGCCTCATGTTCTCTGTCCTTCCTGTCTACCAGCTAGATGGGATGCCAGAGGGATTTTTGTCTTTCCTTTTCACCAAAGTAATTTTATTTTTTAAATTTTTATTTTTTTATTAAAGTATAGTCAGTTTATACAAAGTAAGTTTAAAGACATGTTGACGGTAGAGCCACAATATGGAAGGAGCCTGGGTCTCTCAACGACCATGTGGAGTGGACACCTGCTAACCAATGCTCGTCTGTGACGTGGGCATGAAAGTGATCTCTGTGTTAAGCTACTGAGATTTTGGGATTTTAAAGCAGCCATTGCTACTTATGCTGACAAATTTGCATAGGTGGTACCCTAGTTAGTGGTAAAGATATGACTAGAAGTTAGTTCCATTCTTTGTTGGTTAACAAACAAATATAATTCCATCCACATTAACTTTAATTACTACAGTAGGACGCTAGTTTACAAAAAAAATTCATAACACTTAATGAGCATGCCATTTAATAAACAGAAAAATGGTGACTCACCTAGAGATCGTATGCCTTTTTTTTCAAGAAAACTGATTAAAATATTTATGTCAAGGTTTAATATAAATCCCAGTTCTGGTGTAAGTTTCCAGAAGCCATCCTATGAAATTAAGAAAACAAACTTAAGTCACATTATTGAAATTTCATCACAGTTAGTTATGTAATGAATAATATGTTTTCAATTTTTTCAGCTCCGTTTATTAAGACATTTATTACTGTAAAATCAAAGTTCTTCATACACTCGTGACACAGTTTTGGTGGGAATCTCAAAAATGCTACGGACAGTAAGTATCTGGTGGCATTTACAACAAGTCAGGAAAGAGGCTCATGTGTAAAGATTTTTAGAAATAGTATTATACATTTTTCTTCTAGTAATGCTTTGAAACAATGTTTCTCAAGCTTTTAAATAGCATGATTCCTTTTGTTCAACATTAAAATGTGTCATGATATCTGAACTAATCTTTACCTCAAGCTTACAAGAGTGTTGTAAGCCTGAATGTGGAAATCCTAACCTCGAAGGAGATAAACCCCAGGTCCCAGTGAACTGATACAGGGATCAGAAAGAAAGGTGAGGTCATAGGCAGGTGCCAGGTTAAAGGGTCTACGGCAGTAATTTGAAAAATAACAGGAGTGATTAAAAAAAGTGCCAACTGGTACTGAGCTAGTACCAAGGGCTGTTTTTTTAATCTTCTCAGCCACTTCTTGTGGAGGTACTGTTCTCACGCCCACTTTGCAGATGAGGACACTGAGGCACAGAAACGTGAGTAGCTGGTCCAAAGTCACACAACTAACAAGCAGTAGAAGCAGGATTTGAGCCCCGCAGCCTGGCTGCAGGGCCCACAGACAGCAGCTCGGCCACACTGCATCCCACGTTCTCTCAGGCAGGGAAGCTGGGCAGCTGTTATTGTCCTGTTTAACAACCCTAGCCCTCCCTAAGCACTCCATGAAACAGACACTATTATTACTCCCATGGGGGGAAGACCCCAAAAGGCTACCTGATGTGCCCCAATCACGTAAGGGCGGGGCTAGGACCCAAACTGAGACTTACACTAAGTCAAGTTGCTTTTCTGCTTCACGAAACTACATCACATCAAAACAAATAATTACAGATGTAAGATTGGGCCTTAGTACCGCTCAGTACCACTGCAAGAACCACATTTATAGAGTCTTTACTAGCTTCACGAATGGGATGATAATCCCGAACACAGTCTTCCATGTTGGGCGGCAGCCCGAAGACCTCACGTGGAAGCGCGCAGAGCGCACGCACAGCCTCACAGCGAGGTCGCGGTGAACTCACCAGCTCTAGAACCTCTCCCCATGACCCATCCAGGGAGGCTAGTTTCCTTCTGTTTTTTTCCTTTTTTTTTCTTTAAATGGAGGTACTGGGGGCTGAACCCAGGACCTCACCCATGCCAAACACAGGCTCCACCCCTGACTACGCCCAGGCCCCAGGGAGGCGGGTTTTCAGTTGAGGAACATGAACACTCACTTCCACGGTGTTCTGGCCTAACAGGTGAATACAGGTAGGTGAACACCAGCCATCATTGAGCACACTGTTCGTTCATCTGGCGTTTTTCAAAACAAGGTTTTCTCAGTGAAGGAAGCAGTGCCACATCTGGCCCCAGCCCCTCACCTCACTATGGACCGGCAGCGGCTGGTGTGATGACCAGGTACTCTGACTAGCACGGCTCTAACCCTGGAGCTCAGTAAGACAGACACAAGGAGAAACAAGAGCAGTACCTTAGTTTGCAGGCTGAAGAGTTCAGCCCAGGGCACGGGACGCCTCCAGCTCTGTCCGCAGGCTCTGCCTTCCTCATCTTTTCGTGCCTGAAAGCTTGTGGCAAAGTCACCGCTGCTTCTGTCAGACTGTGCCCCACTTTGCACCTTAAACATCATCACCAGGGAGCTCTGTGTTTTCTTAATGTCTGTTTTAGAAGAACTCTTATGACGTGAAAAGTCACATTGGAGAGGCTCTGACCGTGCAGCTCTGGGAGGACTGTCTACCGGAGGAGCAGCCCCCGGTTCCTGGCTAGTGAGGGCAAACAGACCTCCTGGACGCTGGTAACTGGCACTCAGTGATGCTGGGGAGCTTTGGGAATAGAGACCAGGGTGGTGACAGCCGAACCCCGCGGTCAGAACAGGGGGAGGAACTCTGGGAGGAGGGGGAAAACAATGCTGCTGCAGGGGAGAGTCCAGCTCCGGGCGGAAACTGGCAGGGCCGCAGGGGGCGCCCCCTGGCTCAGTTCCAGGGGGCTGTGGTGTAAACCAGGCACCCGGAGGAGGGCACCCCGCGAAGACTTTGAAAACTGGGCTCTGGCGAGACATCCAGCGAAGGAGACCCTGCTCATGGGAAGCGTCAGCGCAGCTGTCCCACCCCAGGTCCTCATCAGCCTCGCCATCCTTGTAGGACACGAACAACTGCTGGGGATCCTCAGGAGAACCAAACAGAGAGCTCTGAGGGGCTGAGTTGGGAGGGCAGGGCGGAGCAGAGCCGACAGAGGCGGGCGCCAGGAGATGGGACGAGCCAGGGGCGGCAAAAACACTGGAAACAGCCGTTTTTTTTGTGAAATGGCTTTTGTAAATAGTGGTTTAATTTCTGTTTGCTTAAATGACTCCATCTGACTTAAATCCAATAGCCTCTCCACACCCCTGCACTCAGAACTGAGTGTTCCAGGTTCTTCTGGTGGTTGGGAACCTAAGCTAACCACTTCAGAATCTTTAGAAACTTTCAGCTTCGACGATTTACATCTTTTAATCCGAAGTTTGAGTTTCAGGTCTTTGTTCCATTCAGAGACAGATGACAGAGGCTGTCCAGAGAGAGAAATCACAGTGTGAGGGAGAGGCCGGAGGAATACGAGCTGCCAGGCAAGCACGCTACTCGCTGACGGCCGACCTCCAGCGCTCGCTTACCCCGGATAAGAGGTGGGGAGAGCAGACGAGCACGTGCCCTCCTTTCACAGACATGGAACCCGAGACCTGGAGGGAACATCAGTGGCAGATCCACCAGAGCCCTTGTCTCTCTGCTCTGGAATCACGGGATTTCAAACTCCCTCACTTCCCACGAGAGGACCAGAGAAGGGACCTGCCCAAGATCTGACAATCAGCAATATCCCTGTGTTAAATTAGCCCTAAAATAAGCCGATTAATTTGAAACAAAGTACTCTATACGGCACTACAGCAATATTTAGAAAATGAGAGAACCGAAAAGAAAGTCAAAAGCTTTAAAGTAACAAAATTAATGTATCTTTTGCACCAGAATATGAATATGTGCAAAACAAAAGGGAACGAGGGATGCTATGTCACTCCTATTATTTGAATGTCGTTTAAAAAGCATTCCTTAAAACTTGCATGTAAAATAAAATTCAGTTTTATATGAATTACAAGTCCTGGAGATAGTTTGGAAATAATTAGCCTCTCATTTTACCAACGTAGATGAGCTGTTTTTTAAAAAACAGTAGTCCCTTCCCATTTCAGGCAAATCTCAACGTACATTTAAGTAATTAACGCAGAACATGTGACAAGACATACATTTCAAAATAATACTTGAAAACAGTGCTTATCTGGTTAAACGTTGCTTAATTAGATAGGCAAAGTGAAAAATAATGAGGGACTAGACCCATCAGACACTAAAGAATTTTATAAAATTGCAGTAATTATAACAGACAAATCAGTGGAACAGAATAGCCAGTCCAGCAACAGACCCTAAAACGTGGGAGTTTAGCGAGTGATAAAGGTGGCATTTTGAGCTGTTTGAGGAAAAGAAAAATTACTCAATAAACAGTGAAGTATTCCAACTGGATGAAAAATGAAATGTAAACATGAAACCACAAAGCTATTCAAAGAAATAAATAAGGGGAATTTTTTTAAAGCATAATCTCTGAACAGGAAAGCTATTTCTAAGCACGACAAAATACAAAGCAATATAAAACAAAAACAAGAAACCTAAAGATTAAAGAATTTGACTGCATTAAAAAAACCTGCATGACAAGAAGATGGTAAACAACATCAGAATACAAACGGCAAACTGGGAAACTTTTGCAACTCATGTCACAAAGGGCAAATTTCCCTAATATATAATTTCACTAAAATAAATGAGAAAATGAGCAACATCACAACTAAAAAGGGCACAAGACACTAACAGACAATCCACAGAGATGGTGAGTGCTAATGGCTTTCAGGGACGTGAAAGTGTGCCTCCCTTCATTTACGAAGAAACGAATGATCATTTAACTATCACCCGTATGCTTTTCACCTGTCAGATCTGCAAAGATCAGAAGTCGCCTCACACCCTGGGCTGGGGAGGGAGCAGGGAACAGGCCCTGGTAGGCGGCTGACGGGAGTGTGACCCGGTGTAGCCCGCTAGAGGGTGACGTGCTGGGAGCTGTTTAAAACCTCAAAACAGACCGACTTGGTCGGAACAGACACCAAGCTGATGAGCTCTGGAGTGAACATAGGTCCACGAAACCACCCTCACAACGAAGAGAACAGCGTACACATGACTCCCAAAGCACCCCTGTGCCTCTGGCAGCCCGCCTCACCCTCCCCTCGGCCACCGAGCGCTCTCGGCTGGTTTGCATACGTTTTCTATCAGTGGAGTCACAGTCTGTATTTTTCGTTTGACTTCTACTCAGCACAGCCGTCCTGACATTCACCCAGGCTGCGGTATGGATCAACGGTTAATCCCCTTTTACTGCCGGGTGCTAGTCCATCCTGTGGCTCTCACAGTTTGTCTGTTCGTTCATCGCCCGATGGTTGTTCCACCTTCTGGCTGCTACAAACAGAGCCACAGTGAACACTCCACACAGCTCCCTGTGTGAACACGTGCCTTCGTTTCTTTGGCTGGGTCAAACGACAGGTGTATGTTTAATTTTTTAAGAAACCGTGAAAGAGTCTTTTGAAGTGGTTGTACCATTCTGTACGCCCAGCAGCAGTGCTACAGGTGCTCGGCGTCCTCGCCACCCTGGCACACGGCTCCCTTTCCACCGTCTGGAGGGCACGTGCGGGAGGCACCGTCCCCATCTGCGTCTCGTCTCCCTATGTGACAGACGGCGCTGAGCACCTCGCGGGTGCTTGCTTGCTGTCTGTACATCTTCGCTGGTGAAATGTCTGTTCAAATCTTTTGCTTATTATTTTATTGGGTTGTTCTCTTATTATTGAATTGTGAGATTTCCTCCTGCATTTTACATAAGTCTCTGTCAGGCACGCTTTGCGTTCTCCCCCAGTCTGTGGCCTGCCCTTTCACCTTCTTAACAGTCGGTATTAACGAAGTCCAGTTCAGCAATATTTTTTAGTTTGCTTTTTTAATTTAAGAAATGTTTGTCCAACCCTAGTTCAGTAATATTTTCTCCTATATTTTCTTCCAGATATTCTTGTTTTAGTTGTTACATTAAAATCAATAAGCCAGTCTTTTTACAGGGTGTGAGGCAAGGGTAGAGGTTTTTTGTTTTGTTTTGTTTTTTAGTATATGGCTAGCCAACTTTCCCAGAGTCATTACTGAAAAGATCATTTTTCCCCCATTGCCTTGTCTTGGTACCTTTGTAAAAATCAGTTGACTTTATACAGGTGGACATACGTCTCGACTCTGTTCCAAAGGTCTGTATGTCCGTTTTATGTCAATACCACAGTCTCCTAATCACTGCAGCCTCAGGGTAAGTCTGGAAACCAGAGTGTGAGACCGCCAGCCTCCTCTTCCTTTCCACTGTTGTTCTGGCAAACCAAGATCCTTTACGTTTACATGTGAAATTCAGAAAAATTTATCAACGTGGGCCCAACATAATCACATAAATCCTTAAGGCCAGCAGAAGGGAGATGAAGAGGGAAGGCAGAGATTTGAAGTGTGAGGACTTGAACTTAGTTTTGAGGGTGGAGGAAGGAGGCCAGGCGCCGAGCAGTCCAAGCACATTCAGAGGCTGAGAACAGCTCCACAGCTGACGGCCAGCAAGGAGGTGGGGCTGCAGCCCCACGGCAGCCGGACCTGAATTCTGCGTTAGCCTAAGTCCATCCCCAGAGCCTTCAGAAAGACGTGCAGCGCCGGGGGCTCCGTGACCCCAGCCTTGTGAAGCCCAGGAGCCAGCTGAGCCCGTCACACTGCTGCCCCACTGCACGGCGATGCAGTGTATCAGTTAATGCTGTTTCACGCTGCCAACTCTGGTGATTTGCTGCTGCAGCAACAGGAATGAGTATATAAGGGGTTCCTTTATTCTACTTTGTATTTAATTTGATCGTATTAAAGTGGAAGCTATGACAGTGTTATTATGAGACTTTTTTTAAACTAAGCATTTAATACTGTAAGTTTCCCTGTGAGCACTGCTTTAGAAATATCCCACAACTTTTGTTGTGCTTTGTTTTCATTTTCATTCAGCTCAAAATATTTTCTACTTCCTCTTGTGATCACTCCTTTGACCCACGGTTTATTTAAAGTCTGTTGTTTACTTTGCAGACCTTTGGGGGTTTTCCCGGTGTCTTTCTGTTGCTGATTCCTAGTTTGGTTCCACTGTGCTCCGGGAGCTACTCTGTATGATTTCAATCCTCTGAACTCACTGACTTTTTAAATGCTCCACCGGATGGTCTATTTTGGTAAATGTTCTGTGTAAATTCTTGAGAAGAATATGTACTCTCTTGCGCTGGGGGGATGTTAAATCCACAGGTCAATTTGGTTGATGTTAGTCAGGTCTTCTACATCCATACCCATTTTCTGTGCACTTGTTCTGTAACAGTTAAGAAATGGGTCTTGAAATCTTTGATATTAATTACGGATTTGTCTCCTCCTCCTAGTTCTGTAAGTCTGTAGGGCCATTCACGTATTTTTGAAGTGCTGTTTCTAGATAACCAAACATTTAGGATGGAAAGAGCCTCTTGGTCACTTAACCCCTTTTTATTATGAAACAAATCCCTCTGTCTCCGGTGATATTCCTCGTTCTGAAATCTACTTGGAGAAAGATCCGGCCACTTTAGGCTTTATCTTCCATTTCTTTCTATGTTTTTAGGTTGAGTATAGTAACATTTTCCCATCATTTTAATGTATTTAGAGTCTTATGTCTAAAATGAATTTATAGCCCCTATATGGTTGGGTCTTTCTTTTTAATTCAATCTGACAATCTCTGCCTTTTAGTTGGAGTGTTCACACCACTTACATTAAGTGTGATTATCAATATAGTTTGAGTAAAATCTACAATCATGTTACTCATTTTGTATCTGTCCTATTCATTCTTCCCTTTTTCCTTTTTCACTACACTTTCTTAGATGAATGTTCTTTATGATTCCATTTTAGTCTTCATTAGGCTATTAGCTATGCTGGTTTTTTCTTTTTGAAGTGGTTGCTTTAGGGTTTACAATACACATCCTGAACTCAAGGATGTATCACCACCTCACCGATAATACAAGGTCCTTAAAAACAGCACCTCCAACGCCCCTCTCCCTGCCTTGTGCTGTCATACATTTTGCTTCTACATTTGCTTTAAATCCCACAAGACATTGTTATTATTTTTGTCTTAAAGAATCAGCTACATTTTAAAGAGATTTAAAGAATAAGAAAAAACTGGATTACATTTAAACAGGGTCCCCGCTTCAGTGCTCTTCTTTCCTTTGTGTGGATCCATACGGGAAGGCACCATTTCCCTCTGAGGGCTTCCTTTAACATCTACTGTAGTGAGGGCCTTGTCCTGATCCATGCTTTCAGCTCTTGTATTTCTGAAAGAGTTTTTCATTTCACCTCCCCTCTCCCCCCGTTTTAAAAACTGTGGTAAAACATACGCGACATAGAGTTGACCATCCTGGCCGTTTGCAGTGCGCAGTTCGTGGTGTTAAGCACACGCACACGGCTGTGCGGCCGTCCCCACCCCCCAGCCCCGTAACTCCTCTCACCCTCTGGAACTGAAACTCTGCTCCCGATTCTCCCTCCCCTCACCCCCGACGACCGCCATTCTCGTTTCTGTCTCCATGACTCTGGCGACTGTAAGTACCTCATGGAAGTGGGATCGTACTACGCTTGTCTTTCTGCGACGGGCTTATTTCATGGAGCACAATGTGCTCCAGGCTCATCCATGTTGCAGCGTGTTGCAGCATTTCCTCCCTTTTTTGGGCTGAATAATATTCCTGTGTGTGTATGGACCACATTCTACTTATCCATTCACCCAGTGGTAGACACTTCAGGTTGCTTCCATGTTTTATCTATTATGCAAATGCTTCTATGAACATGTGTGTACACATATCTCCTCGAGACCCTGCTTTCACCTCTTTTGGGTATATACGCAGCGGTGGAATTCTGGATCATGTAAGTAATTCTGTTTTTAATTTTTTGAGGCATTGCTATATACTGTTTTCCACAGCAGCTGCACCATTTTACATTCCCTTCAACAGTGCACAAGGGTTCCAATTCCTCCACATCCTCAGCACACTTGTTGTTTACCTTTTTTTTTTTGGTGTTGCCATTCCTAATGGAAGTGAGGTGGTATCTCAGTTCAGTTTTGATCTGCATTTCACTAATGATTGGTAATGTAGAGCATGTTTTCATGTGCCTATTGGCCATTCATATACCTTCTTCGGAGAAATGTCTATTCAAGTCCTTTGCCCATTTTTGAATGGGTTGTTTGTTTTGTTGTTGAGTTTTAGGAGTTCTTTATATATTCCAGATATTAACCCCTTATCAGACAAATCATTTTCAAATATTTTCTCCCATTCTGTGGGTTGTCTTTTTATTCTGTTAAATTTTGTCTTTCTATGCGGAAAGTTTTTAATTTTCATGAAGTCCAATTTGCCTTTTTTTCCTCTACTTGTGCTTTTGGTTTCACAGCCAAGAAATCACTGCCAAACCCAATGTGGTGCAGTTCAATGTCCGAGCCTGCCCTGCCATCTTTCAAGCCTTCAACAGACTCCAGAGGTCCAACACCGTTGCCTCAGACAGCTTCTGCCAGGGCGGCGGCTGTGCTCCCTCCTCCACCCTCCTCCGAGAGTCCTCCTCGCCTTGGCTTTCAAAAGATATTTTAAGTAAGGATTAATTCTAAGGGAAGGGTGCAAAGGGTTTTCTTCCTTTTTCCCTTCAGCCCTCTAAAGATGCTGCTCCACCGCCCTCTGGCTTGTCTTGTTTCCAGCGAGAAGCCTGCCCGCTCCTCGTCTTTGTTCCTCTGTGTGAGCGTCTTCTTCCTCAGGCTGCTTTTAGATTTCCTTTTTATCTCTGGCTTCAAGAAATTTGATTATGAGGTGCCTTGGTCTCGTTGTCTCCATACTTTCCCTTGGGTTTGCTGAGCTCCTTGGGTCTATGGGTCTACAGTCTGATTGAAATTTGGAAAATTTTGGCTATTTTTTTTTTGAAAAAAATTTTTGCCTGTCCTCCTCCTGGGACTCTGATTTCTTGTACAACAGGTGCCCATCTTTGTCCTGCAGTTCACTGATTATCTGTCCATTTTGCCCCCTCTGGATTTCATTTTGGATAGTTTCTAGTTGCTGTGTTTGTAGTCTCACTGTTTCTTCTGTAAGATCTAATCTGCTGTGAATCACATCCAGCGTATCTGTTATCTCAGACTCTGTATTTTTCATCTTTAGAAGTTCAATTTGGGTCTTTCTTGTATCTTCTGAATCTCTAGTTCACGTGCTCAGTCCTTCCACCTGGGTGAACACAGAGCCCACTTAGAGTAGCTGCTCGAATGTCCTCGTCTGCTGCCTCTGGGATACCTTGATTTCTGGGTCTGTTTTACTGATTGGTTTTCCCCCTCATTACGGCTCATTATTTCCCCTTTTTGCCTACCTGGTAATTTGTGAATGGATACCAGACATGTCAGTTCTACCTTGTTGGGGTGCTGAAAGTTTTTAAAAAATTCTTTTACCTAGTTTCGAGCTTTGTTCTGGGACATAATTCAGGTATTTGGAAATAGCTTGATCCTTCTGAGTCCTGCGTTCCAGCTTGGTAGGTGGGGTGAGGATAGCTTTCAGTCTAGACCCTTTGGCAAGGCACTGGGTCTGGAGCCACAGCTCTTTGGGTGCTGCACCAACGCCCGGCTGCTCGGAGATCTTTCCTCTCAGGCTGGTCCTTTCTGGTGGTTCTTCCTCGGGCCCCAGGTTGCTTCCTCACACAGACACTGATAGGCACTCAGCCAAGACCACAAAGGGACCCTCTGCAGGTCTCGGGGGCTCTCTCCCTCAGAGAGAGCACACTGCCCCCCCCCCATGGCCTCCCGAGCTCAGCGACACCACCAGGCTCTGCTAGGGTCCACTGTCCTCAGGCTACAGTCTGGAAACTCTTCCCAGGCCTCAGGCTGCACGACCCTAGGACCCACCCATGTGTTCTCTTCCCTGAGGGGTCACCTCTGCTCTGTCTGTTGTCCAGTGTCTGGAAACCATTGTTTCAAATATTCTGGTCCAGGTATTTTTTTGTCATTTATTTTAGTTGTTTAAAATGGGAGAATAAGTCCAGCTCTTAAATGGGTGACGTTACTTCATCACAGTCAGTAGCAGAAATTCCCTAGCTATCTAAAACTTTAAATGCGCATACCCTCCGGCCCTTTAAGCCTCCTTTCAGAAATACGTCCTGCAAATACACTACAACCCATGGGAAATAACATGTGCAAGGTTATTCACTGTAGTGTTGTTTGTTACAGACAGGAAACAAACTGTCCATGAATAAAACACTTCCCTAAGTGAACCCTAGTGTATCCACACGACATCATGCTGTTCAGCTATAAAAACAGAGATGCTCTTCTTTAATCGCTCTCCAAGGTACAGATTTAAAACAATGTATAGAACAGTGTGTAATAGTATACACACTGTGTATAGCATGTCCCTTTAAACAGGTGGGAAAATTCATCTTAAGCTCTTATATGCACATGCTGTCTCTGCAAAGATACCACAAGGAGCCCATAGTAATGGATGCCTCTGGGGGGGACCAGGGTGAAGGACGAAGTCGGGGAGGGTCCACTGCCTCCCTGCTGTACTGTCTGGATACTGGACCACATGACTGTAAGAACCAATTCTACTAAATAAACAAAATAAGCCCTACTTCCCAGCATGAATCTTCCATTCACCAAACTCATTCACCCTCCTCTTCCCCTTCCGGCCCACAGTCTCTAGTTACATTTAGCCATCTCCTGAGGGGCAGCCCTGCTCCCAAGAGAGAGATGCAGAAACAGGGAGTGCAGGGCTGCAGCCTCAGGGCCGCGTCAGTGTGTTGCTACTAACAGCAAATCATTGACTTTAATGAAACAACTTACTTTGAAAATTAGATCAGAAGTTATTTTTTTACAAAATCTCTGCCTTTTACGTGTTTTCCACGTGGTTTCACAGGTGAGGAGGAAAGGAGTGGTCGGGGTGAGTGCACGAGGAACGGCCCTAAATCAAGCGTGCCCGCCCACCTGCAGGCCTGAGCGTGAACACCCCCTCACCAAATGCGCGGTTGAGGAAAGGCGCTGAGCACCCGCGAGGGGCTCATCTGACCGCCGTGAAAACCGAGACCCCCAGCTCAAGCGAGTCGTCGCAGCCAGGACGGACCCCAGGGCCCGGTGCTCCTCCCGTGAGCTCCCACTGCCTGAAGTAATTCAAGGGGGATGCTTCACGGCCACATTTCTGGCAAGTGAGATAAATTCTGAGGAAGAGTAACCGAGGCTTCAAGATTTTTGCTAAATTACATGGTTCATTCAGAAAAATTATTTCGACTAAAATAAAGATAAATGATCAAGTCATCAATTTAACTTGTAATTTTGTAATCTGTAATTTTTCATCTCACCAGTTTAGATCTGGAAGTATCAAGAGTACTTGCAGAATTAGTATAAATGATTGCTGCGTGTGATTCACCATCTCAAACACACTAAACGCGATTTTAGGAGCAAAGCAGGTGACATCGAACTGTTTTTATATGCTTAACGAACACAGTAATGTTAAAATGGATCAAAGGAAATGAATATATTGCATATATTGTGTTTTCCCCCAGATCTGTCTCTTCACAAAGTTTTTCCTTAGATTCTAAATTCCTAAATTTTGGCAATTTTACTTCTCTGACCCTGGGTGCCTGAGAGTCTCGTGGGCACCGTTTCATTTCTTGGCTTTTGACTATGCCTCCCAATTTTCACTCAAGTCACGCTTCTCGACGTCGTCACGTTTCTGGCTTTAAAGCCCCGGTACAGAGCCCTGTGCACTACAGGAAACACGGGTGGTGAGTTTAGATTATTATGACACATCTACTCTCTCACTCAGTAAATGGCTTGACCTTGCTGGGTGACGCCTGTCTACAACAACTACATTGACGTACAGTGACCTTCTCGGTCACGTGACAGCGTTTTTATAAATGTGCAAAAGTTTCCAGCATCAGGGAGACAATGGTTCCGTGCACATGGGTGAAAGGGTGCTGCTCTGGCTAAGGGTTCCCCCCACCACTGTGAAAGTAAGAAAACACAACAGCGACTTACTTGGTAGCTAATGCTCCCCTGGCTCGTGCTGGCCTTGCGCGGCTCCTCCTGCCAGCTCATGTACGGCAGAAAATCTACATCTTCTTGGGCGATAAGTTCCAAAATATCTGGACTGTCGGGGGACGGTGACTCATTACCATCCTACATTGAATCACAATCAGGTAAAAACGAAACAGATATTATCAATTGAACTATTATTAGAAACCCCAAAGCCTCGTGAATGTTTCGTCTGGAATACGTTTGGGGGTCGGATGGATTGGGAGCGTATGTCCCGGGCCACAGGTGAGAGGAGGAGGCGCAGAGGATGGCACGCTGGGAGCTCCTCCTCCTGGGCCCTCCCTCCTCTTACAGCCTCTGCGATTCTGCTCTTAAAGTCAGGAGGGAGAGAGGGCCTCTCTGGGGTAAGGGGAGCCCAGGCCTTTCTGTTTTTGAGGGTCTTGGATTAATAAAAATGGGAAAGGCCAAAAATGTAACAAAACTGTAGTGCATCTTAATGTACACGTGCAAGTAATCTAATTGTAACATTAAAATAAAAACACTGGGAACTCATCTGGAGACCGTCGCCACCCCCCACCCACCAGCCCCGCCGGCCCCGCGCCGAGGCCCTCCCCTCCCTGCCCGTCAGCCACAGCGAGAGCAAGAGTGATCTTCCTGGTGTGTGAATATGAGTTAGATAACCAGGAATTAGCAATACATACCCTCTTCTCAACAGCCACGAAGCTTGTAAACTGTGTTACGAGAGAGTTTTCTTTACTGAGCTTAACAATCAGAGATTTTAAGGTTTGCTTCTTCATCTGGGATAGAATAAAACACACGAAATCACGTCCGGTTTTACTGTTCACTACTTAGCTACGTATGACCGATTCAACGAGCGTTAGATAATCTAAGAGGGTGCTATTGAGTGAAAGGTAAATCACCTTGTAATTAGTCTCCAACTGAACACTGAGTCAGCGGCCCTGTCTGAGTATCTCAAGGAGGTGACTCAGCGTTCCTGCAAAATGGACTCACGGACTGGCTCAGCCACGGAAGAACCCCTCGGTAAGCAGCCCTCTGCAGCTGGTTTATGAAAACCCTCGCCGTCAAGGGTGCTGAGCTCCCACATCTCTCGCAGACAGCCTGCGGCTCCCACGTGCGAGGGGTGCAACGACCAGTTCAGGGCTGTCTGGGGGTGCGACTGGGCAGCTGCCTCAGAGGCGAAAGGGCCATACGCAAAACAGAAGCCGAGGCTGGACCAGAGGACCCTGGCTGTCTGAGGGAACCCACCGCCCTGCGTGGGACGCCAGCGCCTTATTTCTGGGGTGGCACCAAGTGCGAATGCCCCAACCCTCATCTGACAGCGGCCCAGAGGACCAGCCATCTGAGGTGGGGGGGCTCGTGGGGGTCCCTGCAGGGGGCCTGGGCTCTGGGGTCACGGCCTGCACCGCTCCTTCCTCAGTGCAACCGGACACCCCAGCGCCTAGAGAGCGGCCTCTGGGCCTCTCTGGCCTCCCTCTGATGGTCAAATCATCACAGAGGTCTCAGGAAGCCACTGGCACCTGTAACTTCATTCAACAAACTAAATTAACAAACGCGAAATCAAGGAACTCCTGCACACCCTGCGCCCCAGCACGGAAATCACAGCCGTGGTGACCAACGCCCCCCTGCACCCAGCTGTCCTCACGTGACATCTCCATGGGTAATCAAGGTAAGAAAAGCCGAGAGCCGTGGACAAGGGCTTTTACTGTGAGAGAGCGAACCTCGTGAGTCCTCTCATCCTCGTGGAGGACGCCGTCTTCATGGTCTCGGATCAGAGCACGCGCCACCAGCCTGTGGATCATCTGTGTTTGTGCAGCAAAGGGGAAAAGACTCAGAGGGCTTCTGATTAAAGTCACACAGAGAAAGCGATTTTAAAACTTGACGTGTAATTTCCACATGGTAAGACTTTCACAGTGTTCGGTTCAATGAGTTTTAACGAACGCACACAGTTGTGTGACCACCACTGAAATGAACACAGAGTGGTTCCCTCACCCTAAAAAGCTCCCTCCTGTCCCTGCGTGGCCCCCTCTGGGCCTGGGCGCCCACTGTCTGTTTTCTGTCCCTACACTTTGCCTTATCCATAAAAGGCCGTTCTGCCAATTCAACTTATTTCAAAAGATGTAAACAGGAGGAGCCAACTTCGTGCTGTGACGCCAGACCACGAGTGTGGTCTCCACTCAGAAGGGGCCGCCAAGAGCACACAAGGAGGCTCAAGGCGAAAGATTCCTCCCCGTCTCCTCAAACGACTAAGAAACAGAACTTACAAGGCAGCCTCTCCTTTCAGTGATAATTCCAACCCTTGCAGTCTTGTTATTGAACAGGCCACGGTTCGCAGAGCAAGCACAACTCTAACAACTGTGGCTGTATGCAGCACGACCTCCTCCCAGGGAAAATCCTTTTACTTCCCTTAAACTCAGTTTTTAAAACAGTATGAAGATGCCCTTCAGTTCTACACGTAAGTTGTCAGCGAGTAACGTTACACTTACTGACTCAGGGCCAAAACGGAAGCTGTGCTTTATTTAAAACACTGAACAGCCAGGAATGTTTGGGAAATAGTTTACCTGGTTATACAAATTCTCCCAAGAACAGCCAGTTACGTACACAGCATAGACAAAGGTCAGGAGTTGTCCAGATTTAGCTACAGCAGATTCAGTACTAAAGCAAGTACTACAAGCTTTTTGGAGACAATTCACTTGCTTTTAATCCAAAAGTAGAAAAAGCAAACATTCCCTCAGTACGTGACCCATCTTACTCCTGTCTGGTATTGTTACACTTCATGTTTTAAAGTGGCATAGGCGGACCAGTGGCACTCAGTTTTTATGGAGATGCGGACATCTTTGAGAACTGCCCTAAAAATTTTTCATGCATAAAATGCCAAAATTAATTGCAGTTATTCTGATGCCCACATGGATCCACCTGGACTCAAGACCCCAGACGAAGACATGCTGCCTTAGAAACTGAAGGAAAACGTCCTGATCTGTGCAGATAACGACCACGTGCGAAACGTCCACACAGAAAGCAACAGCACAGGACATACACGGAGCATGACAGGGGAAAAGAAAGTCACTTAAACTTTCAAAAACAGCGAGTCCACAGCTCAAGATTTGACTCTTACAGTTCCAGTTGTCTTCTGGAGCTCAGTAGTTGACACCACTGTAGAAAATTCCTTCTCCTGAATTAATGCACACAGTGTTGCCTGAAATGGGGAAAAAAGAATTCCTCGTGAGCTTTTCTACGTCACAGGGTCTTGGCTAGCTCGGCAGTGACTCTTTCAGTGGTTTCCATGAGAATCAGAAGGCTCCCCGGTGCCCTCGGTTAACCAGCCATTGTGCTCCCAGGAGAAAATCTGCCAGCATATTAATGAGAATTTGAGGGTGAAGGAAAGGGAAGAAAAAAAGAAAAAGAAAAAGAAAATTATGAGCAAAATACATTGCTCTTCCCCCAGTAAATCAGTTGTGTGCTACTTACCTGCGTGCAATGAGGAATAAGCCCGTAGACGAGGAGCCGGTCACTGTGGAACAAGGACTGCACCTGGGCAGGGGCCTGCAGGGGCTCGGGGGCTTCTGTGCTCAGCTGCTGCCATCTGACCGAGACTGAGTGGCAACTCGGAGAACGCATCCGAGTCATCTGGTCTTCTATCTACACGTGTGAGAGAGGAATTATTTCTCTTTCAAAGTTATATCCAGAAATGGTTACTCAACACTTAAAATAATTTTATATTCTCTCCTTTGGGATTTGTAGCTATTTTTTTTTTTTTGCCTCCTTCCTGCTTCAGGGTACTCTTCCAAAAAGATTTTATGTAGAATTTTTAATAACAGCACTAGCATGTAATTTAAATTCACAAAACATCCTAAAATTATTCTGTTAGTTAATAATTAATATACAGCTTTGGCAGAAGTAGATTCCAGTTATAAAAATTAACACTACAAAGGACTTGAATAGCCATTTCTTCAAAGAAGATACACAAATGGCTAATGAGCACATAAAAAGATGTTCAACATCATTAGTTATTAGGGAAATGCAGATCTAAACCTTAATTAGATACAACTTCACACCCATTAGGATGGCTACGTAAAAACAAAAAAATGGAAAATAAGTGTTGGTGAAGATGGGGAAAAAGTGGAGCCCCCGCACACTGCTGGCGGGAATGTACAATGGTGCAACCACAGTGAACAACAGTATGGTGGTTCTTAAAAAAACGAAACAGAATTACTATGTGATCCAGCAATTCCACTCCTGGGTAAATACCTAAAAGAACTGAAATTGGAGTCTCAAACTTAAGCTTGCATGCCAATAATCATATCAGCATAACTCACAATAGTCAAAAGGTGGAAACAACCCCAATGTCTAGCAACAAATAAGTGGATAAACAAAATGCAGTCTATATATACAATGGAATACTATTATGCCTTAAAAAAGGAAGAAAATTCTACACATGCTGCAACATGGATGGACCGTAAAAACACTATGCCAAATAAAATAAGCCAGGCACAAAAGAACAAATATTGTAGGATTCCACTTCAATGAGATCCCTAGAGTAGTCAAATTCATAGAGACAGGAAGTAGAAGTGTTGGTGCCTGGGGCTGGGAGGGGTCACTGTTTACTTGGGGACAGAGTTTTTGTTTGGGATGATGGAAAAGTTCTAGGGATGGATGGATGGTGGTGGATATTGTGACTGAACTTAATGACATTGCGTTGTACACTTAAAATGGTTAAAATGATAAATTTTTTGTATACTTTGCCACAATAAAAATTAATCATAGCAAAATGTGTGTAATGCTTCACTTTAAAAACATTAACCCATGGTATTTTATAAAGCAGAAATCAAACTATTAGCTAGGAGAACACGCCAATGAGGTTATTTCCTGTGTTCCTGCTAAGTGCGAGCCTGGCAGTGACTGAGGGTAGGGACATGTGCTTTAGGGAGCTTTTGCCTCTTTTTAGCTCCCTTTTCCATTAATGAAAACACAGAAATTACTGTCACTAGATTTCTAAGGAGATAATGTTTCCATATTTAGACATAAGACTAGAAATTAGATGTTTGAGAAACATACCTGTTTTTTCCAACTATGTTTGGATTTTGAGTTAAAATATTCAAATACTCCAGCACCATGTTGGGACAAAGTCCTTAAGATATGACGATTTGCTGTAGAACTGATAACATTTCACGTTTCAGTTTTCAAGAAATTTTAGAAACATTTTGAAGTACATACAGTTAATGTTGACACAGCTTAAAACTCAATGGAAGAGACATCACATGCAGAAGACTTACTGCTCTGCAGCTGAGGTTAGATATAAAACTTATGAAACATCTGAAGCTTTGGGTAATCTAAGTGCCCATATATCTGTGTCTCCTTCATGGTAGATAAAAGCAGAAATTCTCGCCTTCTGATTTACCAAAGGAGGGAGTAGATGATTCTGAGAAATCCCCAAAAGGCATCAGAGTGCTGATAAGGATACCAACCAGTGCATATAAAGCTACCCGAATCTGATCCCCAAAGTCAAGACTGGCAAGATAGCTCATACAGTCTGCATCTTAAAATGTGACCCACATTTATAGATCAAAGATGTGAGAAATAACTTTCATTCCAGCAAAGACAATCTATGATATTTAAACAACAACGTCCTATTAAATTTCTCTTTTTTTTTACTTTTTTTATTGATTCATAATCATTTTACAGTGTTGTGTCCTATTAAATTTCTCTTGATAATGATTCTACAACTAATCAAGAATGACTTTCTTAGAGAGGTTCCTCTTGAAATTTTAGAGAAATGATGGATAATTTTTCAGAAAAAGAGCTCAAGAAAGTGATTTTGGAAATATATTTGAGCCTATTGATAAAGTTGAATTTGTCTTCAGCTGTCAAAATTAATTGGCAGTGATTACAATACCATGAGATAACCCTTAAGCAGGAGTTTATTTGTATTTGCAGATTTTGTAGGTTAGGGAGGCTGCTGTGTGGACCTAAGAGGACAGCTTGTTAAACAGGCCGGACAGTTTCTACTCCTGAAGAACTCACAAACGTTGCTAGAGTTTGTGACACAAACGAGTACACGTAAAATGAGGCCGAAACATGGAGAAAGGTACTAAAAACTGGACAGAACATCGGTAACAATTCCAGTGTCCTCAGGGTGGGGGCGTCTAAGCACAAAGTCACCTCCCTGAGGAGTCTCACACTCTCCCTCCACTGTCACCCATCTGCTCCTCTTCATCCACTTCCTGGCACTTAGGAAAGTGCACGTCCCCATGACCCCTGGTCAGTCACAGAGCAGTGTCTGTCCTTGAAGAGGACCCACAGAGGCCAGTGCCTCCTGAGACTGAGGGGCCTGATCTGCACTGAGGGTCGGACCTGAGCTGAGGGGTCGGACCTGAGGTGAGGGGTCGGATCTGAGGTGAGGGTCGGACCTGAGGTGAGGGGTCAGATCTGAGGTGAGGGGTCAGATCTGGGCACCTGTGTCCAGTGCTGCCAGTCAGCCGGGTAACTTCTGCTGGAACCTTCCTGATGGGAGTCCACTGTGGGCTGGACAAACCTGCTGGTTGGTCTGGCTGCCCTGCTAGGCCTCAGACGACAGGAAGGGGACCCAGAGCCAGGACTGAGGAGGGGCAGACAGAAGAGAGCCCACCAGGCTGGTGGCAGTGGGGGGCAGCCCCTGGAGCTCAGACTGAGGCCCACCCAGAGATGCAACACCCTCCTCATCCCCTGCCATGGGAGGACGGAGGGTCCTGCTCGGCACTGCCTCAAACAGGGGGCCTGGGGACCACCTGCCAGGATGGCAGCCGCACTGGAGAGGGACAGGACTGCTTTGGCCCCTCTGTTGCTGTTTTCTGTATATTTTCATCATAATCCTCAGATCAATCCAAAAAAGCTAACTACAGCTGGGGAGGGAGTTACCTCCAACAATCATGGGGTTTTAGCTTTTCCACACATCACAGGGTTAGAAAACAAACGCTCACAGCAGTCAGAAGGGCTGGGGTCGGGATAGAACAAAGCAGCCCGGGCTGGGGTGGGCCAAGCCAGGGACAGTCCTCAGCCCGGGGCACAGTCAGCCACGGTGTGTGGGCCCAGCCCGGCCAGATCTTTAGGCTTCAGAGGATAAGCTGGAATTTGGGGTTGTTCTGTGAAATAATAATATCCAGTGTTGACTGGGTGCTTGCCCTGTGCTGGCTGCTCTAAGCGCCTTCTGTAAATGGGAGTTCATTTCATTCTCAGGGCAAACCTACTAAAGCCCCGGCCTTTTCATTATCCCCTTCGTTTCACAGAGGGAGGTTAAGAAGCCTTCCGAGGTCCCAGCTAATAAGCAGCCACTTCAGGTTCTGAGACGCGGGCGGTTGCCCAGAGCCTGCACCTCAACATGGACTTGAAAATGTCCCCAGAACCCGTCAGGCCAACAGAAAACCTCCCGGCCTTTTCCTCGCGGTCTCCATGTGCCTGAGCCCCTCGCTCACCCAACGCCGCAGGAGAACAGCCTGGTGTGCTGGGCGTTTCTCTGCACGAGCCGCAGCGTCAGGCTCTCGTTCTGGACGTGCCCGTCGGAAATGAGGAGGATGCTCCGTAACCCCTGAGCGGGGTACAGCAAGGCCAAATACCGGAGCAGCTTCCAGAAATCCGTGTTTCCCATGGTGGGTGCAGCAGCCTGGAGAAATGAAGTGGAAGAGTGTTTACTCCTTTTTGGGTGCATTCACCAGTGACGGTAATCATTTACTGAAACACATCTCTTAATGTAGAGACATCATCACTGAAAATTTTTTTCCTAATTATTCATTTGTGGACCAACTACACATATATCCTTTTAGTTTTATTTCATGTCACACAGTAAATACAATATTATCACTTGGCACTTTTTTTTTTATGGTTTTCAAAAAAGTTACATCAAAACATCCCTTGGGATTGCCAGCCTAGACTGAGGTGGTGACTGGGCATTCCTAGCTTGCTCAATTAAAAAAAAAAAAAGAAAAAAAAGGGGACAGCAAAAAACATTCCCAAGCTGTCAGTGCTGTGTTTGGGTGGTGGAATTGTGACTTTCTTCTTTCTACCTTTTACAATTTCTCATTTTTCAAACGCATTCATACCACTTTTATCAATGAACTAAAAGAGCCCATTAGCGCACAAACACTGAAGGGCCAGGGTTCCGGTGGCCGTCTCACTGGGAGTAAGTCCTGGAGGGAACCAACACTTGGCAGAAGGCTCAGGGGACGAGGGGCGCTTTGTGTGCTCACCATGATGAACTCTGTGGGCGTGTCACTGCCTGCGATGTGCCTCGGGTATGAAAACAGCTCCTTGTAACCTGTGTAATAAGATTGGCAAGAGGTGTTGTCATTAAATATTCACTTTTTTGACTGTTAACAAACAATAACGTTTGATAGTTTTAACGTGTAAAAATTCATAGCAGGATTCCTTTAAATAATAAATTCTAGTGCCTTCAAGCTACGTACTTTACTGAGCCAAATGCTCTGAGTCAAGTCAGGTGCGTAGACACCTGTTCTGGAGCAGACGGTCCGCAGAGCGAGATGCAGGCCGTGGGGCCCGGGCAGCAGGCCTCTGCAGGGGCACGCTGTCCCTCCCTACCCTGCACCCCGTGCGTTTTGACCCCTGCCCCCAGCAGTGGCGACCCCGGCTCCTTCGTAAAGGCGCGGGGCCTTCTGATGAGCAGCTGGAAGATCGGGATCAGCAGGCAGGACCGAGTGTCCCCTCGCTCCACTCTGCTGCTTCTCTCCTCCCCGAAGTGCCTTCTTCTGGTGGCTGACGTGTCCCCGGCCCCCAACTCCCACCCCGGAGGACAGCAGTACCTTTCTTTTAATAGGGCTGATCTGATGCTTCCTGAGACCATCCCTTACAGATCTTCTACTGGTGTGCGGACTTCAGGCGTCCCGTCCTCCTCCCTGGGACCCTCAGACCAGGGCCTTGCATTTGGGTCAGCTGGTAACACTGATGACAGGGGTACTTATGCCGCACCTACCACTCAATAGGTGCCGTTTCGAGTCCTTTATACCCTAGCTCAGTGCTCACAACAGCACCCTGAGGTGGGGACTATTACTCCCACAGTACAGACAGGGAAACTGGGGCACAGGAAGTTCAGGTGACTTGCCCAAGGCCACACCAAGGGCTAATTAGCGCAGAGGTAAGACTGGAACTGGGGAACTGGCCCCAGAGTCCTTGCTCGTGACGCCGCGCTGCACTGCGTGTCCCTGCGCAGGTCCCTCCGCCAGCCATCATCTGCTCCATCCCTGCGGCGCTGACGTTTAGGGGGCAGTACGCTGCGGAGGGACTCAGAGAGAGCTCACCTGTGCCAAACCTCACGACGTTTATCTTCTGCTTCTCATCCACCAAGGACAGTGCATGCAGCGCAATCTGCTTGGCCTGCAAGAACGTCGTGCCCTCCATGGAATTGGAGCAATCAAGGCAAATGATCACTTCACTCGCCCCAGCTCGCTCAGCGAGGGCGAGGCTGAGGTCTGGCTGAAAGACAAGCATGCAGGCCTGCAAGGAGAAACAACGGCTAGCTGGGTGCTGCTCATCAGGTAAACTAGGCGGGTTGTTTGCACTGGTACTGCTCTGTGTGCCACGAGACCACAGAATTTCAACCCAAAAACCCACCCCAAAATCTTTCTAAATGACGGACACGCAGTTGGGATAGAATGACAAAGACCTAAGCATGGCCCACTGACCCTGCCGGGCCCCGCGGCTCCGTCCCACCGCGCCTCGCTAGGTCTCAGCTCCGGGGCAGATGCGCCACTTGTCGTGGGGGTGGTTGGCAAAAACTCTGTAAGCCCCAAAGATGACAGAGGCATAAAAGCAGCGACACAGGCACTGTGTGCAGGCCACTGAGAGCAAACCCAGTGAGCAAGAAGGTCGCAGACCAGATGAGCCACGACACGCTGCTCCCGGCACTTCACAGGCCCATCAACCCACCATGGTCTTCACACGCCACACTCAGCGGTGGCACGTCACTCTGCAGTTGTCCCACTTTTCCAATGCAGGTGTTTCTTGCTATGAACTTCCTTCCTAGAACTGCTTTTGCTGCATGTCCACTTTGAGTTGTTTTGAGAATTTTTTATTTCCCATGTGATTTATTCTCTGACTCACTGGTTTTTCAGGAGTGTTTAATTTGTACATACTTATAACTTGTCCAGCTTTCCTGCTGTTACCATTTCTAGTGGTCAGTGTCTCCCACTTGGAAGTAAGGAGGACTATACCTCGCTTTCTTTCTCCGGATGTTTTTCGACCCACATTCTTGGGAGATACGCATTAGACAAACCAATGTGGAGAGAAAACCCACTGCTGTCCAAGGAGCTGCCTTCCACAGTGCTAATCACAGCCTTGCAGTCTGTACTCTGCAAAACAAGCAGCCAGGATGACCAGGTGAATCATGGAGCAACAGCACTTTGTCACAGAGCAAACCCCGCACGACTGACAGGAC